GTGGAAAACAAAATGCAAAGAACTCTAAAAAAAAAAAAAAAAAAAAAAAAAAAAAACACCTCAGAAACGTTATAGCATCAACCTGAGCTACAAAATGCTTGCAATGTGTCCATGTTCACCTCCATTTAACCTGAAACACCTTGAGTAACTGGAAGCCATCAGACTGACTCAGAGCTTCCCCTGGCTTAAGCTGTGCAAACAAAGAAAGCTTTTCCAACCAGACTCCGGGGAAGAGAGAGGCCCCACCATCAGAACTCCACACAAGATCAGACCATGGGTTGTAATCGACACCCAACCACAGATGGAGGCTCAATGACGCACACACAAAGATTAATTAAGTTAATTAATTAATTAAATACATTTCAAGTGTTTTCAGAAAAGACCTCAAACTTAGTGGCCTTACAACCTTAGGTTAGGAAAGAGTGACACTGAAGAACAATAACAAAAATCCAATGGCATTTCCCAGGACCCTTATATCCACAGGTGTCACTCTATAAAGCAGATCCATGAGAGAGAAGTCCTAAGTTCAGCCTAGTGGGGGCCAGAGGGATAAAGGCTGGAGATCTCAGGGGGCCTGCCTTCTCAGGTCACACCTGCGCAGATACACAGAACCAAACAGTGTGACCTGAGTGACAGCAGTGAACAGGCGAGATATGCTTGCTCGTCCCTCCCTCCAGGTCCATGCCCCTCCATGGCTGCTGAGGAATCAATTCTTGGTAATGGAAATCCCAACATAAGGGCTTCCTGCTAAACTCTCAGCTCAACACCAAGGTTCCCCCATGCTTTCCCCACGCCCTCCATTGTAGTCTGTATGTGAGAAGTCTCTCCGAACTTCTTGAATTGCCTATGCCCATCTAAACCGAAGCATCAGAGTAATTTGGATTTGCGAGATGGGCAGAGGGGAAACTGGTGATTGGTGAAGGGGGTAGTTTTTCTACTCTTCTGTCAGACTGAAGGCTGAACTACAGACTTACCAGTGTAGGAATAGTCCTTCCTGGTCCATTAGCTTATGGCCTATACTAAGTAACAGCATCTTGCATGTCACTGGATTGTATCAAAAAATGTGATGAGGGACAATTAAGAATTTCTCCCAAGCTCCCATCAACGACTTCCTCCTTGCTCTCTCTTTGCTACAAGGGAACAAACCTTTCCCACTTTCACTGCCCCTCCCCCACTTTCCTTCACCAAGATTTTAAACAAAGGAATCAGAGGAAGCACACTTTGGACAGGTAGATAAGAGAATCAAAAGTCACTGTCCTTCAGGCTAACCAGACACGGTGCATTAATGACTGGCAATTCATTACTGACTGGCAATTCTTATACATGCCTCTCCGTAAAGAGAGAGGGAAAGAAGAATGAATACCTTAAGCAATTCCCTGTCTTTTCCAGAGATCAGAGATTTCTAGATCTCTTGAGGGTAAGTCTGCTTCTTTAATTCCTTCTGTCTTCTCCCTTCTTGCTCTTGGACCTTTCTCTAAATTAGTGCTTCTCAAACTTTCATGTGCATAGGAACCATCTTGAAATCTTGTTAAAAATGCAGATTCTGATTGAGCAGGTCTGGGGTGGGACCTGAGACTCTGCATGTACCCAGACCACACTTGGAACAGAGGATCTAAATTCTCTCAGACTATACTCTGAAGCCTGTGTAACACAATCTACAGCTGCCTGAAGCACGCCCAACATGTTAAGCACAATATTCCATCAAACACAGAGGCAGCATTAACTATTCCGCCTTTCAATTGTGTCACCATCTCAGACCTCCATCTCAGGTCTAGGCCCCCAAGGCAGCATCACGTGGGGTTGCCCGTGTGGCCATCCATCCTTCGATTTCCTGTAAGCCTAGAGAAGAGGTGGATATTACCTGGCCGAAGAAGTTAAAAAATGAAAAAATAAGAAAAGAAAAAGAAACAGATGGTGAAGGTTTAACTATCCAAATGCTAAATATCCACTGGGCAGTCACACCAAAGAGAAAAACATGAAAAAGTCAAAGCAAAGGAAACTGGAACCACCTCGACTTTTCCAGTGGGGAATAAGGAAGTAGGGGGCAGGGGGGTGAGAGGAGGTGGTCTCTGCTATCACAACTGAGTGGGAAAGGCATTTTCCTTCGGCAAAGATCTCCTGGTCAGCCTGTATCAAAACCTCTTTTCTACCTTCCCCCACTGGAAAGAAATTGAGAACTCTGCAAAAAAAAAAAAAAAAAAAAAAAAGACATAAGAGCCATATGGAATTCTCTATTTTTTCCTTCACACCATCTGGTTTGGGATCTAAGTACAGAATGGCAACTGCATTGATTTAGGAGCCAACAAAATCTCCAAGCAACTAGGAAGGCAGTAACACGGCGGGGTCTGGTGCCCTCACTCCAGGGCCTGCGCTGTATTCTTTAAACTATCCTACGCAAGGTCCCTGGGGCTGGCTCCAGACACAAATGGTCCCAATGTGTGTGCCACGGAAGCATATTTCTTCCAATGATTTCAGTCAATGAACACAAAAAGTTCAAACTACGTGTGGTTGGCGACTGTTTCAGGATCCAGGAAGATGATTCTATTAATCAAGTTCAGTGATTTCATTTCTCCCCCTCAGACAAGAACCTGCTTGATCATGTAATTCTCACATGAGATATCACCAGCAACCTGATACTATTAGAATTCTACAATTTCTCACATACCAAAATTCCAAAAACTCTAAAAACAAAGTCATTTTTTTTTTTGTCTAGCTCATCTGGAGCAAAACCTGTTCTGATCTGAAACTACCTGGTGCCAAAACCTGACCTGAATGGACAAGAGGCTGTTTACAGGTTTCATTGCCCCAACTTGGGCTCTCCACCAAGATTAACATGATGGATTTGTGGGAGCCCACTGACCTTGCTGGTGGTATTGAGAAGCACGCGGTGTGTGTGCCATGTTGCTTTTCAAAAACCCAAACTCATCTAAATTCTGAAACAAATTTGGCCCCAAAAGTTGCGGAAAAGAAATTGGAGCTTTGCATTTTTCTTCTCAGCTGCCACTGCTACTTAGAATGCCTGTATTCCGGCGTTCATCAAAGCACAGAAGTCTTATTCCAATGCTTGTACAGGCAACTGCTCAACCGGCGGGCAAAACTCATCAGGAGCAATTGATAGAGGGTTTTCCCCTAATAAGATATTGATGTGTACTCTTTATCACAATCCAGGAAGGATACTTAATCTTTTTCTCCATTTCCAACTGGCCTAGTATCTTCCAACACATTCTTAAAATGAAGGCCATTCTCTCTCAAGTAGTAGTTTCTGATAACTTGGGGACCTTCTCGTCATGTTAACAAATACCCTTCTCTCTCGTTCTCCGCCATTGAATTGTTCACATCTAATGGTGCTTTTGCTTTTCGGTGGGGAAGCTTTTTAAAAACAGCTTTATTGAGATATAGTTTACATATAAAATTCATCTGTTTTAAGCATACAATTCAATGGTTTTGAGTAAATTTATGGAGTTGTGTAACCATTGCCACAATCTAATTTTAAAACATTTCCATCACTCCAACAAAGATCCCTTGAATCCATTAGCAGTCACTCCCCATCCCTCCCCACCTTCTCTCAGCCTCTGGCAAACACTAATCTACTTTCAGTCTCTATGGATTTGTCAATTCTGGAAATTTAATATAATGGAATCATACAATATTTGGTCTCTTATGTCTGGCTTCTTTTACTCAGCATAATGTTTTCGAGATTCATCCATGTTGTAGTATACATCAGCATTTCCTTCCTTTTTATTGCTGAGTAGTATTCCATTGTAACGGATATATCATGTCTAATGCAACTCTTCATTCTTTAAAGGATCTATGAGGACAAATGTCTGATGTCACATCTTGCTCATTTTTTCTCACCAGCACCACACAGGCACACGCAGAGCTGCTGCCTAATAGCCAGACGTCAAATGAAGGAGTGCATAATTCAAGATGTAGAACTAAATCCAAAATTAGATTTCACGTTAATTAACCTAAAGCCTCAATTTAGGTTTGAAAAGAAAAGGTTTTGTTAAATTAATTACAGGTGTTATGACTATAATTCAATGAGTGCCTTATGTCGTACCTCAGGATTGCTTTCTGGAGTTGTAGGTTCTACACTATCATTTTTGATTTATTCGTGAAAAAGTAAGCAACTATTTGGGAAAATGATGCTATGGGTTCACTCAAAATCATAGCAATACTTTAAGCCTGTTGCGTTTGTTTGACGCCCCCACCATCCCTTTAAATATACGTTTTAAGTAACTTGAGGTCATTGAGCTTCAGCTAACTGAACTGAGTATGAAGACACGTATAGACTTTGGGACTATGGAGGGTGGATGTTCATATTGCTCAGCATTCTCCCCCTTCTGGGTCCCCAGATAGGCTGATGTGCATTTCACCCAGACCCAGCACCTAGCAGTTCTAAGAGCTAAGTGTTCCTCGTGAGCAAGGAAACTGGAAACCAGACCCAGTGGACCTACCTGATGGGATCGAGTACACACTTATCTGATCCTCATTTCATGGGCTTTGATTTTTCCTTCTCAAAGGCAATGACTGATGTTAAGTCAGAGTGGTGCAAAGCAGTGGGGCTGGGAAGTCACTTGGGGACACTCATGGTACTCTTGGAGTCAAGGCTCCTTGAGTGTCCTGGACCAGTTCTTGGTCCCATGGAGGACAGGTATGACACCTCTCCCCCGCATTACTGGTTCAGACATTGGAAATTCCATGGTTAACCCAAAGACATATCTCATTGTATACCGCTCCTTTCGAGAAGAAGAGGTGAGGGTGAGCAAAAAGGGGAGCAGGGAGAAGAAAGAGGTGAAAGATGGGGTGGAATGGAGAGGAGGAGAGAAAAAGAAAGATGATTTAAAAAATTCTAAAGGGCCAATTCCACCCACGCCCTTGTGAACAAATTAATGCATCAAGCAAAACAGAAAATATCACCAAACTGAAATATCCATGACAAATAATATTAAAGATAACAGTTGACTTGCTATTAGAATTCACCCCGAGGCTGTATTTACCTGGACTGCTCAAGGGGCTAGCCCTGTCCCCCAGGGTTGGCACAGGATGGTACTGGTGGTTCTTTGAGCCTGGGTACATCCAGTGGTACCTGCCAATTTCCATTTCAGCTCTGCTGTTCACTGCCAATTTCAGGTGGCAAAGAGTCAGTGTCTCTATCTCCAGCAAAGATTCTATATCAGCATTTTAATTTATTCTTTTACCATAAAGTTAAAGGAAATGGGGAGGTTAAAAATTTGCTATTGAAATGCAACCTGACGGTACCATCTAATCAACTCAGCATAATAAATTGAGAATGTTGGAGTCTCCTTCTCCATTTTTGAATGTAAGTTTATAGAAATCACCAAAATTTTCTTTTCTTTCCTTATTTTCTCCATCTCCCCTTTCCCCCCTTAGAATGCTCATTTTGGGCAGACACTATAATGAAAATCTGGCCTCTCAAATAATACTTTTCTATTTCACTTTCAGACCCACAGAGCGCCATAATTACTGCAGCTACAGAATCCAGGCTCATTCTCCATAATGGTACCCAGTCCCAGCTTGAAAATCTATCAATTAACCCCATGGTCTGCTGAATCTTGGATGAAACTCCTGTCCTCCCACTGACATCTGTGGTATTCTCTGTCACCTCATCTTAAGCTCAGTACTTCAGAGTCTAGAAAGTTCTGGATTAAATCCTGTTCCAATCAATCATCTCTCAGTGTTTTAAAGAGAAAGGGCTGCTGGTCTTGGGCTGGAACCACTGCTTACTCACAGACAAGGTGACAAATGGCCTCCTGGGACTCAGGTCCCTATCTGGTAATATGACTGTATTTCTCACTTCTTAGGGAATTAGAGAGAAAAATATCTCCCAATTTGCCTGATACAGAGTAGGCTGCTGGTAACTATTAGTCGAATTACAATCTTGAAATCCATAAGAGGTCACAAGGTCACTATGATCAGTTTATATTTGAGAGTCCCATAAAACCTAATAAAGGGTTACGTCTTCTAGGGTGCCACAAATATTAAAAAAAAGAAACTCTGACATTGACGTGGGTAATTACTCCACCAGAAGATGAGGTTACAATGCTCCATGTGGCACCTCAGATCGCTGGAGATAAGGACCAAGCAGACAAGCACATTGCGGGGCAAACCCCAAATGCCCTGACCAGGTACGCTGGAAACCTCGCAAAGCCTTCACGAAATCCCAACTCCACTCTCCACCATCTCTGAAAACATTCAGGGTATTTCCAACTGGGAAACAGAGACATACTTTTCTAGGTGGTGTTTTAAAGAAACACCTTTTTGGCTTCAAGATTAAAAGACATTTTTACTTTAAGTCATTTAAGGGAAAAAAAAGATGCTAGGACAATACTGCCCAATGACAGTATTTTTGCTCCTGCTGTTTCTGTTGTGATGATGACAGTGATGTTGATGATGGTGGTGATGATGATGATGAGGATGATGACAGCCGTAATTTACGGAGTGCTTATGATGCGCTAGTCATCATTCAAAGCACACTGCACCCGTTCCTCATTTGTCACCACCATCTTAGGAAATAGGTACTATTATTATTCTATCTTTACAAATGAAGAGCCGAGGGCAATGAGAAGGTGAGTCCCTTGCCCCTGATCATGCAGCCAGGGGGTAGAGAAGCCTGGGTAGAAACCTGGGCAACTTGGCTCCAGAGGGCACAGTTTTGAAGGCACCACAATACCCTACCACAGACTGTGCATTTGCTGCAATCATCCCCTCTTTTGCTGAAGCCATGGTTAGCGCAACAAGAGTTTTTCTGAGGTCCATTTGAGGTGAGCTGTGCTTCTGTGGCTCCTCAAGAAATGTTTCAGGTCTCAAGCTACTAATGCTGTTTCAGGGTTCTAAAAACCTCTTAACTCTCAGCCTTCCCTGGATTTAGACTTTTGCTTTACTGTCCAGGAGATTCTTTCTCAGACATGGGTTGTACCACATTCTCTGAAAGCAAAACAACCCAGTGCGGCTGGTAGAAAGAACCAGAAGAAGGTCAAGTCGCCTCACGATATGATCTGATCTCTTAGTAAAATGGCTGTGAGCCCTTGGCATCGACCTCAAGCAAGAGGATTCCAAGTAGCTCAACCACTTCTGATCTGAAAAATTTCATCGTCCTTTAAAAAAATTTCTCTCTCCATGCCCCCTTACCTCCCACAGTAGGTGCCCAAGAAATGTTTGGTTGAATAAATACTTGGTTGAATGCAAGGGAGCACCCTGGGACTCTGGACCAAGAAACGGCTCTCCAGGTCCCCCACCACACTGACCTCACCCAAGCCAGGCCATGCACTTCAGGGAATCTGTGCATAGGGTATATCCATTCTCTGTCCTCATCTCCTTCCGTAGATGGGGAAGTCTGCAGACATTTGGGCAACGAAGGCTTCTAGGCAATGACAATGAAAAACCACGGACTGCCCAATGCTAACGTGTTTTCTGAGAAAAACATGGTGGCCATGCCTGAGACGCTTAATTCAGCATAATACTACCAACTCCAGTAGATCTGGAGATGGGATCGGCAAGTGGAGGGACATTTTCCAATACTTCTGGGAAGGCCTTTTTGCAACAGTAAATCTTTAGCTATGAAAGAAAAGAAAATCATGTCTGTTTTATATTTTTGAGCCAAACCTAACTAAAGACATTAAATATAAAAATTACTTCTAAAATTTCAAAGAATACAGCATATATTTTGTTTAAAGGAACAGGGTTCTAACACTTAGAAGGGAGTCACATGATTCCAAGGAGAAGCCTCAGCTTGAATGGTATATTAAAACACTGTCGATTCTGGGCAACTGGCAAGAAATGGGAAAATGTGCACACCCAGGAAAATCCTGGTTTATGCCCTACAGAGGGAAGACTGCAAATGTTCACCTTAGAGAGTAGAAGACAGGGATGGGCAGGAGACCAATCCATATTCTTGAAGAAGCACAAAAAAACTGTGACATCTGAGATACTATTTCTGGTTGGGGCTGAGGTGAGCGGTGGTGGCTGATGGTGATAGACACAACTGTGAGTGGTCATCACCAAAGGTGGATATGAAACAAATGATGGAAAATGGGGAAAGGAAAATAAAACAATGCCTTGTATACTTTTTTCATTTACTTAGATAATGTGATTTAGTGACAAGGCTGAATAACTAGCTGCAGCCTGCTATACTTTCTAGCATCTAGGAAATTATCACCGGAAGCAAATAAGTGACAAAGACTAAGCTTCCTAGAAAGACCATATTCCCTGGGCAAGGTCTTCGAAAGCTGTGTCTGCCATCCTTCATTTTCAGCTATTATTTAAAATATTAAAGGAAAGTTATAACAACACTATAGAATACAGCAGGGATCAGCAAACAATGGCCACCTGTGTTTGTAAGTAAAGTTTTATTGGAACACAGCCACATCCATTTGTTTAGACACTATCTATGGCTGGTTCATGCTACAATGGTAGATTTGAGTAGTTACTGGAGAGACTGTGCGGCCCACGAAAGCTAAAATATTTACTCTCTGGCCCCTTACGGAGGAAGTGTGCTGACCTTTGATACAGAATATAGCTAGTAAGGCTTGACTATACAAAGAAGTTAATGCAATTAATCAAATCAGCCTACAAAATAGGACATTATTTTCTTTTCCTTTATTACATGTTCTCTGAAGAGAAATATCAGTGTGATGGCTAAGGATCAAAATTCTCCTCTCTGGCATTGTCGTCTGCTATTTAATCTGCCACCAGTCAGCAAAATTATGGTGAAAACCAAGATTATACTAGACATAATGGTCCCCAAGAAGAGATAGCACCCTTCTATGCCCATGATGTGAGCTCAGAGGACGGATGAGGGTTCAAAGGAAAACATTATTAAATGAATAAAAAAATGAAGAAGTGAATGAACCACCAGGTACATCGTGAAGCTAGGATTGCAGCTTCCCTCTCTCAAAAGTCAGTGGGTGTCACCTTCCTCCACCATCCCATAGCCATCCCTAGTCCCAGTCAACCATCTTACATGGATGTACGTTTGCTCTCAAGAAGAAAAAAGCAAGAGAGTGTCTTTGAAACAATCCAGTTAATCACCAGTCCCAGTGAGGGAAAATTTACGTCATGGGGACAACTGGCTATTTCACACGTTCTCCAATACATAAGGCTAATGAGTCCTTTGATTAAGATTATTTACTCTAAATTAACCTGTACCTCCAAATAACAGAGAAACATGATGTTTAAAATTACAATCTGAATTCAAAATTTCCACTCAATTTCAAGGAAGTCAAATCTAAATTTCCAAAAATGGGTCAGAATTCTTTGTCTAATGAAATAACAAGGCCAAGTCTTAAAAAGTATGCTAATAGAAACAGTAATATAAAAGTAGGAGATGCACCAAATGACTCGTTGACATCTTCTCCACACTTACATATTCTAAAAAAACAACATAAAATAAAAGCGAACTGTATCCTACCTACCACATATGTCCAGCACCATCTGGCCGGCCATGCTTTCCTCTAAGCCTAGTCCCCAGACACCCTCTCTTCAAATGTCCTCCTTGGCAGATTCTCACAGGGAAAAACTGTATTTGAAACTTTCTCTGTACCATATTCATATAATCAAGTAGGAAAACATCAGTAAAAAATCTCAAAATTGAATAATTCATAGAGCACCAGGAATAGTGTAACACGTTAAATGTGTCCCTCTGGGTTTTTAGCATATAGGTCATATATTCTAGAGGAGTGCTTTTCTTCCTAAACAAAAAAGAAGAGGGGGCCAAAAGTACACACATTTTGCTAAATTAAAAAACCCCAAACATGCAAGAAATTATATTCACTTGATTAAAAAGATTTAAATGGATGTTAATTTTTTAATCGAGTCAACAATTTGAATTCACTTCTTACCTTGCCTACGTCCTATAATTTAAATTATACATTATTTCCAATTTACTACATTTTTCTTCCTATGTGGTTAGGAACTCAATTTGATGCCAGGAATTCTGGAATTTATTTCAGCAACGATTCGTAGGAGCTTAACTAGCCTGAGTGTAATTGTTTCCATAGATTCCAATTTCCTACATATAATAAAAATAATTTTCATCACAGATACTTAGGTTTTTTTCACACAATAGGGCAATTGATTCAGTTGTTTTCCTACCCCCTGATTACGCACTCCCAGCAATTCCAGAAGCATTGGTTTTCACAAATGAATTGAGATCAAGTAATACTCCACAGAAATAAATAGAAACCTAACTGTCCATCTCTTCATTATTGAGTCCCATAATCTGTTTCCTTTGATTCTGTCTTATTCATTTCCTCCACTTATTCCATTTCAGTGAAGCTGCTTACTCAATCCTCACACTTTGATCTAATTTAATGCTTCCAATTTAAAGACCATCATTTATAATAATTTGGCATTTCTTACATCCATCTGAGAAAACCTAATTGCTTTCCTTAAAAATTCCTGAATAACACTAAATATTCTCTGTGAATTTTGATCATCCAGTAGTGTTCCGTGACAAAAGCTATGAGACTGTTTCAAAAACACATATGCTTGCTTTTTTTCTTTTAAGGACTTGGATTATTTTTGTTTAAAATAGGAACAAAATCATTCTGATTTAGTTTAAAGAAACAACTCTCTTTGTCCTGCTGAAACTCTCAGGAAGTGGCACAAACTAGAAAAGTTGAAATCAATTTGTAAAGCTAAGTTTAATTTATATTCTCAATAAACACTGTAATAATTATCCAAAGCTGTTAATTCACAAGCTACTGGGTACTAGCCGTTGGACATTAATACCCCGAATTCAGAGACAGGTATTTCCCTGAGCACCAACTATTGAAAACAAATGGGAAAGGGGGAACAGGGGAGGAAAAATATATGTGCATTAAAATCTCTGTGGGAAGTGACAAAATGTGTAGGATTAAATTTAGTAAATTAGATCCCTTGCTAAAAGGCTTAAAAGAAAAAAAAAATCAGATCCACCAGCTTAAGAATTATATAACGCATTCTCTAATTATGTCGAAATTTTAAATGTTAGTTTCAATGAAGTAAACATTTATTTTACAAATTTAAAGTTAAATCTGAAGGAATACTGGAGCGACAAGCATGCACAAACATTTGTGATTACTGTCGTATGCCTGTGTGTGTGCCTTGAATGACAACGGGCGAGCAAACTGGGGACACTACAGAGATGATACTTGCGTGAGTTTTGACCTTGTGCAGCTGGCATGTGAACTTGTTGGTCTAAATGAAGATTAGTATGTAAGTCACCCTGCAGAGCAACATTTATGCTGGGTGGGTCGCAGAGCCATCACCACCCTTGTTGCTGCAGTAAATACATTCCCCGGCCTGGATTCTTACTTAAGCATGTACTATATACATGTGACGATCTCTTGTGTTAACTTGGTATTTCTGAATTACTTAACAAACAGCTAATGTTTACCAATTTGGCACTTTTTAAAGTTCCTCCAGGAATTATCTTTCACTTCTAATTTCATCTCTAAAACCACAGCTAACGAGTTTTCATATACAGATGGTCAATGGATGTAGTGGCAGCCTGTAGCTTTGGTATTAAATAATATTTAATTGACATAAAATAATAGCAGTCCATGAGACTAAATGACAATGAGATACACAATTGTACAGTAAGGATTTTATACAGTTTTATGCCCCTTGCTAGCTCTTGGGGAGAAAAACGAAAGGGAAGTTTCTGCAGAGACCAGAATGGTTTTACCTGCTGCTGGCCAACACCATGTTAATAAAAAGTGAGTACTAAACAAGGTCATCTAGTTTAGGAAAAAATTGCTATAAAATGCGATAGGCTTCACAACAATGCTATTACATGATTCTATCATCCCGCAAACTTCGTCTCTAATCGTCACGGAAATGAATCCCTAAACTTTTATCTCAGTTCCTCAGCTTCATAAATATTCCCAAGAGCTTCTCTTATTGCTATTTGGTCATTCGTGTAAATTAAAAATTTATACATGCAAGAAAAGGCAGGGGTTTTTTTTTTGTTTTTTTTGGCAGTTTGCTTTGTATTTTCGTTGGGGGACAGTAGGTTCGATCCAGGGATTGACTAAACTACCGATTTTAAAATTTAAGTGCTATGTACTTAATGCCACTTAATACACCTAAAAATGGTTAAAATGGCAAATTTTACATTACGTATATTTTAACATACTTCAAAAAATAATTTTAAAAATGAAATTGTTTAGGATAAAATGTTATTAAAGTATTGTGTACAGAAGAAATTCCACATAAAAACAAACAGCCTCTAGGAAGCCTGCTGTTAAGGTGAAATTTACACGAAATTGATGGTTTTGTAGGTGTAAAATGGTTGACCATCAGCAATTTTGGACAGTTCAACCTACATATTCTTAAGTAAAACGTAGTTGTACCTCTATCCTGGAGAATTACTATTATTTAGTGACTGTCAGTGGATGCTAGGGCCATGAGAAATAACCTCAGCACGACAGCTTTTGATGAGAGCCACTGCGGGTACAGAATCCGTTTTTGTGCCTTTCTGACAGTTTCTAACTTTGGGTGAGGGAGATAAATTGCAATGCAGTGAGACGCCGTTAACCTAACAGTGGCCGAGCTGATTCTACGGGGTATCAAACACGAAATCAGTCATTACCTAGGAAAAGACAGATTAATTTTAGCCTCTATTTTCTGCCATTTTCTTACCGCAAAACGCTTATTTCTCCAAAAAAAGCAATCCCATATGTCAGAACCGTGATATGTTCTAAGATTCTCTTTAAGGAACAGGACCTTTATCAATTTTCCTCCCCCAATTCTCTAGTCATAAATAGTGGAAGACCTCCCTGCCTTTCCATCAGCACTGGCGACAGAGCTGACAGACCCCCTCTCAAGCTCCAACTGTAAATGGTTATTCTATGTCATACTCAGGGCCTGATACATGGAAATAGCAATCGTATTCAATAAGAAAATTAGAAAATATCCAAATCACTACAGCGTTAGTGGAACCAAAGCATATTTAATATATGTGCCTCTCCAGTTCCTCCTTGGCATCAGCAGAAAACAATGCACCCCACGTCCCTGGAATATAACATGCAGAGCCTATGACCTAAGTTGTGACTCATTACATTAATTTAAAAAAGACAGTTTCCCCAATCCAGCCACCCAAGGTGACAAACTGCGGACATCCTTCTACGAAATACCATGTTCAGTAGGAAGATTTGGAACAGGAATGGATTGAAGAAAGGCTGCTCTATTAATTTAACACCAGCCTACAGGAAAAAAAAAAAACAAAAACAGAAAACAAAAAAACCCACCACCCTAAAGCAAGCCCATGCCATAGGGATTGTTTCAGAGCTATTTTACAAGAGACACAAAACCGGGCTACCCCTTTTTAAGCACCCCCAGTGAAAAGCTTTAAACAGGCTATTGTCAGAGCACTGGGTACCTTTTCTCTCTTGGCTTTGTTCAGTATTTTCCTCGGCTGCAGTTTCCATGGCTGGCTTCATACCATCCACCAAAAATGCTTTTCCCCGCTCCCCCCAACACACACTCTTCCCCTCCTCTTCCTTTTCTTTTGGACTCCCCTCCGTCTCTTATTTACACCCGCGTGATTGAGAGGTTCTGTTCTTCACTACAGTAGATTACAGTCCCTTCCAAGATGCAAAAGTCTCGTCAGCGTCAATTTTCCCTCTGCCTACTGGTCCATAAAGACAGCTGCCAAGGAGCAGGCAGCCATACGTCACCGAGGATCCCAGTTATAAAACAGCCGTTCTGTGCCCGAGTGTGCCTCAAGTCTCAATGCGGCTCCAAGGGGGGAAGAACCCGCGCCCCCACCGGGCTCTTCCTTCTTGCTCTCCCACACACGCGCTCTGGCTCCCCTTTCTCCTAGCCAACTGCACCCAGTGAATGCTAATTAATTCTCCCAGGAAAGAATAGATTTGTGACATCAGAGGACGGGATGTGGAGGAGAAAGAAAAGAGCCCCCTCCCACCACGTGACTCAGCTGGTCAGCCACAGTGTATCTTCTCTCAGGAGAGCGCATATCTCTCCATAAGCAAACTCTTTCTTTCCCGTGGGACTCCTTAATGGGGCAGCACAGTTTGATTTATTTCATTTATCCCTGACCTGGCAGAATATAATCAAAGCAATCAAAGTCTCTATTTTATTTGCTTTAATATGTGTCTTTTATACAATCTCTAGCTAGCTAGATTGACTGATTTGAAAATATATATATCAAAGAGGGGAAAAATACATTAAGCGGGAAGAAAACCCAAATATGGATTTAACAATAGCCGTGTAGCAATTCAGTATTAGAATCCATTCCTTGATGATACCTAACATATGTGATAGTAAGAGAAACTTTAGCTCGAGCCCAATTCAGAAGAAAGCACCCTTTCTTGTGTAAAAATAATCATAATATGCTACATATATATCTAGTTGACATTTTGGTGTTTTTTTGGAATGAAAATCAAAATACAGTGATTTTTCTTATTGGACATGGTTATTTCTATATGGAGCCTTATTCATTAAAACCTCCCTCAAAGTCAAAAGAGTGTTTTCAAACTTATTCTAAATGTTCAGCATAAAGGCTAGTGTACCAATAATAATTTTGATCACTGGTTTCACAAGCCTTCTTGCATACGCCGATATTATTGAACAAACATTCTCAACCCATCCAAGCATATAAGCCTTTATCATGGTTATGGGCCATGTTTCCAAGCATCACTAATTTGTGCACCATTTTTTAAGCATTTACTTGACCCACTTACCTTCATTGTCCCTATCAAAAAATTTATAGAAACTCAAGTCAAATACAGGGATGACCATTGATAACCACAGGGTGAAGGGTACCCTGACCAAGAACAGAGTTTGCTAGCTGGCTGGGTTGAACATCTGTCTTAAGGGCAAACATAAAGACAAATCAGAGACCACCCTCTCCTAAAAAATCTCTCCCAGGTTTTGAGGGTTTGTTATTCAACACTTTAAAAAAATGTGTAAGATCCTGAATCAAAATCCTCCAACAACCTGATCTTTTAAGGCCTTAGTTTGAGATAATCCCCAAAGCCTTCTGCATTCAATACCTCTGGCCCTGCTAAACCAGAAAAGATTTTGAAAACCAGTTTAGCCTGTTTCAACATTTTCTTTTAATTTTACATCTCATTTTTCACTTTAATCATGGCACTAGAAGACCACACCCACGATCAACTATTCCCTTCAGTTAGGGCCCCAGCCAATTTCGCTGTCTCAGGACGAGGGGATTGAGAAGCACGGCAGCTAAAATGTCAGTCTTTTGAAGAGCGATTCATCTGTGATGTAACTAGCTCATGGGAAAACCCGATGACGCGTCCAAGCAGGATGGTCTTAAACATTTTTGCAAAGATTACTCAGGCGCATTCAGACAGAAAGATGGCAATTATTGCTTTGTGACAGGCTCATTCTTCCTTAGCAGTTCAAGTGAGAACTAAAACCCAAACAAAATTCAATTCAGCACAAAAGGGGATAATTCTGTCTAGCTATGTTATTGGTTTTTATTTAAAAAATATCTAGCAAAGTCATTTAATTATAGAACTGGCAGAATAGAATAATTTTTTTGGCTATTACTTAAGAATATTATTTTTAAATGTTGACAAAGTGGGAAGGCAGAATATGGAAGCTGTTCTAAATTTAAGGACAACTCCAGTTCTGTATCATAGTCGGGGACATCAAAACCAGTGGACAAAACATTGACAATTTCTCCAGTTGATACCTTGACCTACTTTCACCCTGAAAACCACATGCAAGTGGACAATTCATCACTTTTATCTTGTTTACAACTTGGCTTTCTTTTCATTAGGCTGATAATGTGTGACAATTCTAGAAGTTACCATTGTATCACTTTATAAACAACTTCAAAACTCACAGATGTTTATGATAAATCATTTGAATCAGAGAAAATGTGATAGAAAAAATGGTAATAGCAAGAAAGAAAACAGAGTGTACTTTTATAACATTTCTGAGGTATGTATCCATTTTTGGCCAGAAAAATTGGATATGTAGAACGTGTAAGATGGGAAATGTTTCCCACAGCTGAAAAGAATTCTTTAAACCCCATGCTTTAAGGCAGTCTGGTTGAAGGTAAGAATACTTCTGAGAGCCAAAATAAGAATAACGAATATTGATACAAGATGGATGTATTTATTGAACCATACAAAATTGCTGATGTTGACCAAAAAGAACAGTAGTTTCACGTGGTTCAACTTATATAAGTCTTCTGTAGAATTCCAGCCAGTTCAGCAAACATGCACAGAATAACCTTTCAAGTGTTCTCATCTACAAGCAACACAGACATGCACAAGAGACAGTGCCTGTCTCCAGGTAACCCACAGGTTAATGGGACCCAGAGAACCCTCCTAAACCAGGGTGATCCCACCTGCTGCAAGCACTATGCGATCACCACAAAGATGAGAGGAGGGGAAGCACAGCTTTGCAGAGTTGAGCCGCTTACCGCAGTATGGTTAGAAACTTGCTGGGTAGGAAAGGGTATGCAAGGGCAGAGAAGGGAGAAGAGTAGGGAAGAGCAGGGGGGAGAAGAGTAGGGAAGGGAAAGAATGTTTCAGGAAAAACTGAACAGTATACAAAAAAGAAAAAAAGGGTATCGTCAAAGTGTTGGGGAGATGATTTTTCTGACAGAGGGTTCAGAGCACAGGGTGCGTGTGGTGAGAGGGAAGTGAAGGGAGATGGCTGAACCAGTAGGGTGGGAACCAGGGAGGTTCAATGCCTTGCTAATCCTGGAGGCAGTGGGAGGAGATGGAAGGTTTGAAAGGAGTTCTAATCTGTGCTTCATGAAGGTCATTCTGTTGGTAATGTGAAAGACAGAGCGGGGCAGGGTGAGACTAGAGGCTGGCAAAGGAATTAGGAGTCTGGAAATAGCACAAGCAAGACAGGGAAGGCCTCAACTATGGCAGGGGGAGCAAGGGAACCTGGATGACATCTGATTGGATACCTATGCGTGGGGGTGGAAAAGGATGCCAAGGGGAGTGTGGAGCTTCTAGCTCGGCTGAGTGAGGAAATGGTCACGCTATGAACCAAAATGGGGAACCAAAGAGGAGGAGGAAGTTTGGTAGAGGAGATGAGCATGTAGGGTTTTCAGGGCCCTGGAGCATCCTGCAGGCGCTGTCCAAGAGGCATTCAGGACTATGGCCCCAAAGGAGAGGGCCCGACCAGAGACCAGGATCTGGGAGTCCTTGGTGTAGAAGCAGCCTTGCAAATGCCACCTTCTCAGGGCACCCTCCTTGACTTTCTTGCCTAAAATAGTAGCCCTGTCATGCCCAATCTCTTTACTTGGCTTTGATTTTCATTATTGTTTTAACCATGGCCCAACACTGATTGATCTATTCACTTACTTATGTATTGACTCTCTTTCCGCTAGAATATAAGCCCGTTATGGGCAGAAATTTTTGTCTGTTTTGTTCTCTGCTGTATTACCAGCTTCTAGAACAGTTCCTGGCACATAGTAGGTCCTCAACAAATAGATGTTAAATGAATGGTGAACAAATGATCAGGGAGAGATACAGACTACAAATACATGGAGATGGGAATGTAAGGAACATTGACTTTTAAATATAAAGGTAAAGGAAAAACTTTAAAGGGAAGGTAAAAGAGACTAAGAAGGAAAAATCAGAAACGCAGAGAACAAGGCCAAAGTGGGATTTTTGGAATTAGAAAAAGGTTCCATGAAGGGCAGGAAGTTAACAGTGTCAAACAGTGTCAAAAACTGTAGAAGGAGAAAAAAGGATGACGATTGACAAGCAGAAAGTACCTTGTCCCACCAAATAGTCATTGGAACTTCCATGAGAAGGGTTTGGGTTGAATGATGGGGACAGGGGCAAGACTCCCAAGTCTTTTTCACAATCATTACTCTCAAAATAGGAGGCTCCTGTGGTTCAACTGAAATTTTAATCTCATACATAGGGCTTCATGCCCAGGCCTATACATCTTGGTCCAGTTTCCAACTTGTCAAGATAATTTGGATTTTTCTTCTATGATCTATTCCATTAATAATCTTCCCAGGTTTATTTTGTCTCTAACGATTCTGGTCACCAACTCGTGTGTGTGTGTGCGTGTGTGTGTGTGTGTGTGTGTGGTGGAGGAGTTTCCTCACACCCCCCAAGTAATTCTCCGATACCAGCAGGGTGTCCTGCACTTCAACTCAATTCTGACACTATCTATCTGGAGATAGCATCAGATCCTCCTACAAGACTGTCCTCCTCCATACCCCCACTTCAGATGCCAATCTCAAGTCCAGGTTGTCATCTGTGCTTCTGACTGACCAGTTAGAGATCAGAGGTTCCAACGACCTCCACCCCGGGTTCCATCGATTTGCTAGAGTGGCTCACAGAACTCAGAGAAACATTTTACTTACTAGATTACTGGTTTAGTATAAAGGATATGAAGGGATATGAATCAACGGCTAGATGAGGAAAGCACAAGACAAGGTACAGGGAAATCCACGCTCTCTCACAGCGTGCAACTCCCCAAATCTCCACGTGTTCACCAACCAGGAAGCTCTCTGAACCCAGTCCTTTTGGGTTTTTATGGTGACTTCATTACATAGATACAATTGACTAAATCATCGGCCTTTGGTGACTGAACTCAGTCTCCAGGCCCTCTCCCCTCCCTGGAGGTGGAGGTGTGTGTGTACATGGGGCGGGGACGACTGAAAGTTCCAACCCTCTAATCACATGGTTGGTTCCACTGGCAACCTGCCCGGATCCTTAGGTTTCAAAGTCACCTTATTAACATAATAAAAGACACCTTTATGGCTCTCCATTACAGGAAATTCCGAGGGTTTTAGGAGCTTTGTGCCAGAAACAGAAGAGCAAATATATATTTCTCATTATAAATCACAATATCAGTCTCCAAG